TCGCCCACACGCCGCTGCTCGGAGCCCCGCGGAGGCGCCGCGCCCGCCGTCGGGGAGGCATGTCTACGGGGCAGGTGTTCCTGCTGTTCCAGGCAAGCTGGGAGCGAGGAGGAGGTTGGGGAGCCAGGGAATGGGGTCTCTTGGGGAGCTCCAGGAAGGGGCTCGCTACACTCAATATGCCAGCAAAATTGGAAAACGCAACAGTGGCCACAGGACTGGAAAAGGTCAGTTCACATTCCCATCCCAAAGAAGGGCCATGCCAAAGAATGTTCAAACTGCCGCACCATTGCACTCATTTCAGATGCCAGCACAGGGATGCTCAAAATCCTGCAAGCAGTATGTGGACCGAGACCTACCAGAAGTACAGGCAGGGTTTCAGAGATGGAGAGGAACTAGAGATCAAATTGCCAACATATGGTGGATCATGGAGAAAGCTAGGGAGTTCCAGAAAAGCATCTACTTCTGTTTCATTGACTATGCTAAAGCCTTTGATTGTGTGGATCACAACAAATTGTGGCAATTTCTTAAAGAGATGGGAGTACCAGAGAGAAGGAAGATGGCGTCCGAACGAGACGGTTGTGATTAACGGGGCTCTGTTATCACGCTGGTATTACTCGGCAGCGAGTTGTGGGGGGCTCATCTAAGCCCTGTAGGGGCAAAGACAGGTTACCTGGACACGCTTTTGGCTTGATATGAGATGGCAATCTCGTATCTGCTGGGAGCAATTCAGGTATTTCTCAACCGAGTAACACAGGGGGTGGTTCAGCACCTTCACGTTCTCGACAGCTTTGAAGATTAGCTTAGGACTTTTATTAGCCAGACAAGCACTGGAACTGCTGGGAAAATATTTTTTATTTCTTTTCGCAGTACTACCCATGGAAAAGCTGCATTTGTTTATAATTTGGCGTTAAGAAAGAAAAAGCCCTCCTGATGTTTAGGCGGCGACCCAGATGAAAGAGTGCTGAGGCTTTTGTCCAAGTTGAAGCTGAAGAAAAAGACTTTTCCTCTAACCTTTCTAAGGGCGAAAAGTTAAATAATTAAATAATTGCGGGGCAAATAAGTGATCCAAGTTTAAAACTCGATCATTTTGGATATCTGTTTGGACTTCTGCCAAGATTAACTGGACAGTCGCCAGAATACTTTTCACATTGTGGGATACTTTCTTCTTTAATGTGAGACTGTTTGAGTGAGCATTTCTATTTTCCTTTTGCAATACTACTTGTGGAAAAACTATTTCTGTTGCTAATTGGTATAAAGAAGGAAAGAAAAAAAAGGAAGGATATCAGAATCTCCATTTTCTGTCCTGCATTTCTGGGACCTCTGCCAAAGTATTTGGCAATTTGCCAACCTTCTGACCGCTAGTGATTTAGAGAAAAGAAAAGTGGATTTGGCCTTGGCTACCATTCTGTGGCCATTGGAATTATTGTAAGGATGGAAGAGCTAAAGAGAACACTCTTGGCAATACAAGAACCTTTAACAGCTTTACAAACGTCACAGAGGTGTTGCTGATACAACAGGAAGAAAATGATTATTGTGGGAGTAGGAGGAACTGTACTAAACAGATTTTTTTTTGTAAGCGAGATATATTAAAGATTGTAAGGAGCTGGACTCCTTTTATAAGGAGTTAATTGTATGTGACTAAGTGAAGTGTAAGCTAGACAAAACTTTAATAAATTAGCTCAAAGAAAATTTATTTAAAAGATATCATAGGTAATTGTTGTCGTCAAACAGACTAGGTAAGATGTCTTTAAAGATGCTAAATGGATGTTAGAAATGTGAACATAAATCAGGTTAAAAGTCTTTAGTTCTTTTATAAGCTTGGAACTTTTCTCTCTTTCGCTTTCCTTTTTACAAGATATTGGATTGGAATACTAGTAAGCAAAAATGCATTTGATTGTATTTGTAACTATTATAATGAGGAGTATCTCTGTTTAATATTAGAAAAATGAAAAGATCTTGAACTGCGTAGAGTTGGTTAGATTGAAGCTGTTACTGAAGAAGATACTTTTACCAAATTTGGAGAGTCTTTCTTTTAATATTGGTTAAGTGAAATGGGACTTTGTAAGAAATGGATGGACTGACCTTACTGCAGAAGGAGAATGAAGATAGTGACTTCTATCAAATTTGGAACCTCTTATTATTGGCTGGAGAAACGGGACTTGGTTTAGATCTAAAAATGTTTTTAAGATTTCATAAATGGATCTGAATATGATTACAGAATGTTAAAAGATATGTAGTAAGGGGCTGACCCAGTAGTTTCGAAGTTTGTGATGACTGATGTTTTTAGTACTGGTTTATACTTTAATAAAAATTATTAAAAAAAAGAGAGAGATGGGAGTACCAGAACATCTTATTTGTCTCTTGAGAAACCTATATGCGGGTCAAGAAGCAACAGTGAGAACTGGACACGGAACCACTGATTGGTTCAAAATTGAGAAAGGAGTATGACAAGGCTGTATACTGTTGCCCTGCCTATTTAACTTATATGCAGAGCACATCATGAGAAAGGCTGGGCTGGATGAATCCCCAGCTGGAATTAAGAGTGCTGGGAGAAATATCAACAGCCTCAGAGATGCAGATGATACCACTCTCATGGCAGAAAGTGAAGAGGAACTAAAGAGCCTCTTGATGTGGGTGAAGGATAGTGCAAAAGTTGGCTTGAAACTCAACATTAAGAAAACTAAGATCATGGCATCTGGTCCTCTCACTTCCTGGCAAATAGATGGGGAAGAAACCGAGGTATTGACAGATTTCATTTTGCTGGTCTCCAAGATCACTGCGGAAGGGGACTGCAGCCAAGAAATTAAAAGACGCTTGCTCCTGGCGAGGAAAGCTATGGCAAATCTAGACAGCATCCTAAAAAGCAGAGACATCACCCTGCCGACAAAAGTGCGTATAGTCAAGGCTATGGTTTCCCCAGTTGCAATGTATGGCTGTGACAGCTGGACCATAAGGAGGGCTGAGCGCAAAAGGATTGCGGCCTTTGAATTGTGGTGCTGGAGGAGACTCCTGCGAGTGCCTTGGACCGCAAGGTGATCAAACTGGTCAGTCCGAGAGGAGACCAACCCTGACTGCTCCTTAGAAGGCCAGATCCTGAGGATGAAACTCAAACACTTTGGCTACCTAATGAGAAGGAGGGACTCCCTGGAGAAGAGCGTAATGCTGGGAACAATAGATGGCAAAAGAAGAAGGGGACGCCAGAGGATGAGGTGGCTGGATGGAGTCACTGAAGCAGTTGGTGTGAGCTTGAGTGGACTCCGGGGGATGGTGGAGGCCAGGAAGGCCTGGAGGAGTGTTGTCCATGGGGTCGCGATGGGTCGGACATGACTTCACGACTAGCAGCAACAACAAAGGGGTCCCACTTATTGCGGGCCAGCTAGAGTAAATCTTCTTCCGGCAGCATTCGGAGACACCAGATGCCCGCATCTGTTGGGGGGCCGCTCACTCTGGGAACATCTTGGCTGGAGAGCCGTCAGGGTCGTGGAGGGAGGCAGCGTCGGCGTTCATAATGAATGGGCCAAGGAACACAACGCGGAGAAGCTGCCCGCGTTCTACCAGCAACCGCCGCCTGCCTATTTCCCTGCCGCGCAGAGGATCGGACGCTCCCCGGCAGCGACGCCTGGCAGGGGAGCCGCGATCCGGAAGCGCCCCGCGGCCCACACAGCGCTGCTCTGCGCCCTGCGCTCGGGCGACGCGCTGCGCCCGCCGCTGCCGCCCTAGCCGCGCCCCCTGCCCGCCCCCGACTGCCGATTGGCCGAGCAAAAGGCATTCGCCCAATGAGGGCGCTGGGGGAGAACCCCGCAAGGGGGAGCCTCCCCGGGAACTCCCTGCTCGAGAGCGGACTTGAAGGCAAGGGGAGGAAGTGCCTCGTTGCAACGATCGGTCGACAGAAAAGAACATTGGAGAAGCTTCCGGTTACACCGTCAACCGCCCTCTGCGTACAGTCACCAATGCACAGTAAATCCAGCACTTACGCAGGGAAGGCCAGTAGGAAAGCCGCGACACGCCGTTGCACCTTCGCCCACACACCGCTGCTCTGAGCCCTGCGGAGGCGCTGCGCCCGCCCTTTGCCTCCCCAGCCCGGCCCCGGCCAACCGCCGACTGCCGCTTGCCCGCGGAGAAAGTCCTCGGCCAAAGGGCAGCTACCTTCTGCTCCTTTCTTCTGAGCGCTGAGACTGGAGAAGCCCCATTCATTTTCGAGGCGCTCAGGGGGTGCAGCAGCACCAGGATTCACGCAAGAGGAGCCATCCTGGACTTGCGCTCCCTGATTATCTTGCTGTGAGAGCGGCACAACGGGGCCCATGACCCAGGAAGTTGATGGGCTCCCCTACC